GAGGAGGAGGAAAGGGAGGAGGAGGAGGAGGAGGAGAAAGAGTCCTTGTCCTCCAAGTCATCCATGTTATCCTAGTCCCCCCCACTTTCACTGACCAGGTCCTGTACTAAGATGTTTTATATGTGTTATATATACTTTTTATCACCCTTTCCAGACATAAACCAGGGCTCATGGAGATTAAATAACTCGTTCATTGCTAAAAAGAGATTGGAGTAGAATTAAGGCTCAGTTCCATTTAGTTCAGCATTCTTTCATTTACCATCGTTTCTCTGTAACAACAATTCAAAAATGAGAAAACTCACCTCACACCCTTTCTCATACACATATTTTACACACACACACACACACACACACACACACACACACGCACACACACAATCTGTGTGTTTCTCCATTCCTGGATCACAAGCTCTCTTGTTTCCTAGTCTCTTCTTTCTTCCCCTCTCCCTTCTCACCTCCTTTCTGTGTCTGTCTGCCTCTTAGACCTTCTGTCTATATGCCCTTTCCCCATCTATGATTTTGTTGTTGTTGTTGTTTTGTTTATTTATCATTTGTTTTCTTGTAGTCTGTTTATCTTTGCCTTGTCACTCTACCCCTGCTTCTCTTTGAACCTCTCTTTTTGTTCTTTTCTCACTGCATCAGTTTCTCTCTCTGCCCATCTTTCACTGTTATGCTCATCTTTCACTCTGATTCATTCATTCTCTATTTCTCTTTTGCTTTGTATGATTATCTCTGTATCTTTCTTTGTGTATCTCTGTGTCTCTCTGTGACTTCTCTGTGTCTCTGTCTTTCAGACTGAAATGTAAGATTCTCAAGAAATAGCAACCTCCCATCCAGTTTTAATGACCCTTCTCTGGATTCCAGTGATGTGCTGCAAAGTTGAAGAAATCAGTCCCTTAAATGATAAAGCAAAAAAGGAAAGTCACTGTCCTTGATAAACAATTTGCATTTCCATAAGGATTCAGTGATGCAGAATCAAAAAAGGCTCATTCTGACACCTCCATGAAAACAACAGGGAGAGCATTCATTAGCCGGGCTCCATTTGAATGATGCACTTCATTGCAATCACTGCTGTCCTCCCCCACTCAGGAAACAGTGCTTAATTCTGTCTGAAACCCGCCCTTTCACTAGGCATTAGAATGAAAGACTTTTCAAAGTAATGGGAACTACACATCTGCCATGGCCTGAGAATGCTTACACTCTAAAAAGCCATACAGAAAGCTCCACCTCCTGTCAATATCATATCCATCAAGGACCAGAATAAGCAAGCTTTGAATTTTTCCATTTACCAGCCTGAAGAAGAGAAATGCTTTATTTTCCTTAGTTTCTTGAAATAATGACTACTTTCGACTTTTTCATTTGTAGCCTCAATAGCCATGATCTGATCTTTAAGGCTGAGTGCAACCTTTAAACAACTTGTAAGATAAAAAGTAAATTTGTGCATCCCAGAGCTCAGGGAGAAACTTTTACTCTTTATAGGGGAAATTATTTTGTTGCTGTTATTGTTGATACACACACAAAATCATCGTTAGAAGTGATTGCTACATGATTGAAACCATTATATTTTAACTTATTTAGCAATTTGCAAATATCTTATTTCTTATCCTGGTTATCTTCCAAAAATTCAGAAACGCTGAGTCATAAACATCAACTCTTGTTAAACAATGTTTAGGGGATGTGCTGATGTTTCCAAGGAAAATCGTTTTTATCCTTGAACAGAATCTGAGGTTTCTATGCTTCTTAGGTAAAATAATAAATTGTATGTGTGTGTCTATGAGTGTGTGTGTGTGTGTGTGTGTCTGCGCGTGTGTGTGCGCGCGCATGCGTGTTCAACACATTAGCGTGTGGTGTATTTTCAGACTGAGATAAAGTCACATTAGTCTTCATATTCCCCTAAGTCTGGCACTTCTGTTGACACATCACAGGTAATGATTCTACTTCAAGGCCTTTCTATTCATACCCACATCAAAATTAACTACCACCCTACCTGGAAGAAGGCAATGGTTGCATTTCTAATTTCTGTGTATATTTTCTGGTCTTTTGCCATTTCAACCTAAGTGACTCCAGTATTTAATTTAAAAGAAATTTACATATTAATTCAGTTTCTGAGTGATTTTAACCTTTGGAATTTATACAAAGACTCTACCAAGAGAACATAATCTTGCTATAAATTACAGTATTTTTTTCCTCACTCAAAATTGACTATGAGCAGTGATGAATTCCCAGTTTCTTCCAGTATCTTTGCATGCAATTCAGTTATATATGAGCATGAAACTTAATATGTGAAGCCCCATAGATCACTGTTAGTTTTGAGTCTGTAGTCTGTCACATTATAACGTAATAACACATAAAAATCCCATTACAAGAGAAAATATCTATAACCAAACACTTTTTTTATTTTTATGAGAATGATGAAAATAGTTTTGGAAGATCAACTTTGCCTAAAATAATTATTTCAATATTATAATTGTGTCACCTCATTATGCATGTGAAAGCCAAGGAGACAGAAACACAAATTGTTTCAAGTACACCTGTGATCCTGTGATCCCAGTAAGAATAACACACTAATATATATATATATATATATATATATATATATATATATATATATATATATATACACACACACATTAGCATTTATATAAAGGAAAAAAGAGACACTTAACAAAATCTATTATTAGTATAGAATCACAAGTAAAATAAAAATTTTAGACAGTGAACATACCCACTCCATTAAATAGCAGTATGGTCTCTTTGTTTATATTATCATTGCTGCCAACTTTAATTATTCAAAGGTTGAAACCCTGAGTGAAACTTAAAATCATATATTTCTCCCAGGTTTACGACCACAGTAAAATGTAAATATCCAGAATGGAGTTTCTATGATAGAAAAATGTTAAGATAACAGCTGAATTATGAAATCTCTACATTATTTTACACTATATAAACAGGAACAAAAGTTCCTGTGGTCAGAAATTCTACCTGCACATTCATTAACAAGATGAGCAAACTAATCTACTCTTATAAACCATTCACACTTGAGGGATTACTTCTTTTTTTTTAAAACTTTGTACTATTATTATAGAGGCTCATTATTTACTCATAAAGCAAAAGTTCTTATGATCAGGAATAATTAATTACTCAACATTCATTTGCTTGATATAAATTTTGTGATCAAAGTAGTGATTTCCTTTGATAAGAGAAATAATAATTATCTTTTGCATGATTTCAAAATTAGGCTATGTACCAAAATACTGAGGGATTGTTGCAAATGGCAAAAAAGAGAAATTAAAAAAAAAAAAGAGAGAGAAAAATAGAAAAAAAGTTTTTACACTTGTCTTGCTAATCTAAAAAAAAGTTGAATAAAAATCAACAACAAAAATGCAATGTCTATTATGCAGAATTTAAAGATGGAAAGATTAAGAAACTGAATTATAATAAATATTCCACTTTAACTCTGAGGTTATTTTTCTTAGAACTAATATTATTGATATTTCTTAAACTAATTTTATAGCTCACACACTAATTTCATCAAATAATAGCAATAAAATATATCATGTATTTTTAAAAATCCAGAAAAATGAAAGGTTTTTATTAAAATCTCTTCATAAATGATTTTCAAAATCACTCCATAATACTGTAGAGAGACAGCTCATAGGGAGATAGCACTAACTCTGACATGTTAAGGTCCCTTAAGAGTTAATGCTTAGGCATAATTTTCGTAGCAATGTTTTGAGGATTCACAGTCCCTGCTCAATACATCATTGCAACAACTGAGAGGTTAGGAGGTCACCACTCAGTGGAATTGGGCACACATTAAATTGCACTTTATTTCATAGGAGAATGAGTCCAGAGTGAAGGGGATCAAGTTGCTGAAACCTGAAGACTCACAGGTACAGATAAATGCACTGACTTACACTTAGCACAAGTTAAGCAAACTAACAAAACTAATAATAGAACCATTTTGCAGAGAAAAGCAAGTTCACATGAGCATGTATAGAAAAGCTTCTGACTGGCAAAAATCTGTTTAAAAATATGGCTTTTTAAACCAATACTTTGCTTCTGTAATGCTAAGCAACACAATAACTTCAGTATTTGGTTACTGTATTTGACAATTGGCTCTTCTGTGAAAGTAAACGAATATGACTTGGAGTTAACCTTACACGAGAGCTTTGTATTATGCTCTAGTTAACAATGGCTTTGTGCATGTTTGCTACAATTCCATCAACTCGATGACCATCTGCATGTACAAGAGTCACAAATTAGAGTTCCAGCAGGCTGAGTAGAAACTTGTTATTTGGGCCCTCCTACCCTCTCCCTACCAAAGTGTGTTTGTATCAAAGATGCCATAGTACAAAGTAGGAAAGATGTTAAGATTGTCCAGTATGAATTTTGTATTAAAATGATAAAGTCGACCTAGATTCAGATTCTAAATGGTTAATGCTCCTGGATACTTTCAAAACATGAGAGATATTCTAATGCACTGAAATGCTTATAGGATTCTGTATGTTATAACCAAACACAAAACATAACATTTCACATTGGAATACAGTTAGGAGCTTTAACTTATCTATTACCTGTTTATAACCTTGAGAAACTACCCCTCAGAAAGCATCAGTATTTACACACACAATAACAAAACACAGCATTTCAGTTCTTAATTTAGGGACAAAGAAGTAGAGAAAGTGGTTGACGAACTTTTTAAATGGTAAACAGGTATGATTCAAAAGCATGTGTCTTTGTAAACATATTGGCATCAACACAATTACAATGCCACTCAGTAATCCAAAAGAACAGGAGAACACGCAGCTGTGCTTACTCTTTAAGCAAATAATTACTTGCACATCACTACTACTTTGCTTTTTGAACAAACAGGACAGAAAGTCATATCATGACAGAGATGCATTGTACTGAAACAAGGTCTATAACTTTCTCTGTAGTTTATTGCTACCTTAAATTTGAAAGTAAAATAAAAAAAAGATTGAGGGGAAAAAACTTACTTGCAGTTTAAAGTTTCATCTTTAGTCCATGGAAGATTATGAAGTAAGTTTTCTTGACAAGGCTGCCTCTTGCACATCCCTTTAAAAAACAACAAATACTCATAATCTAGTTTCAAAACAATTCATTCACTCCAACACTTCTTGTTCCGTGAGGAATTAATTTCCACTGTTGTATTATCATGAAAATGTTACCAGAGATCTAAAATTTTTTAAAAAAGCGAAACCTTAATATATCAACCTAGAAGGCATACCATCATTCTCCACATTCTGAGGTGTATGCCAACTGCCTTAGTTATCGCAAGCAACTAACTCTTAAGCTGCTAGCAGGAATCTGTCTGCCCTCTATCTGTGGCTATTAGCTCAGCACGTTGATTCACTGGCACGGAAGCAGCAGCAATTAGCTATCCTGCTCCTCACAGCATATTCAAGAGACAGCTGAGTGTGCTGTGCCTCATAGTGACTGGTGAGCTCTTCGCACCAATTAGTAGCAGGTGCTACAGTCCAAAGGACAAATTGATGTCCCACTGATCATCACTGCTGGCTGCTTTATTGTACTGTGTCCTGTCAGCCCCTCTGGAGCTTCTCCCTGCTCTGCTATATGGTTGTTTTTACTGTTTTACCTTAGCAGTACTAAGAAGTTTAGCAGCTTACATTCAATAACAATCTTATTGATGAGTCCAAATAATCTCTTAAGCTCCTTTTGCCATTCTCTCTCCTCCCACAGCCTTCTTTTCTCTCCCTCTTACCCCATCCCTTATATTAAGCCTATCTTCTTATAGCAAACCCACCCCTCTCACTTTGGGGGCATAAAGAAACTTCACACATCTTATAGAAGACATAGGTAGACGTTTAGGTTTTTGTAAGCACATATATGTAAACACCTATATAAGGGGGGTCATAAGGAAATTTATTAGAAAAATAATTATAGAATATTTCTTAAGCATTGGAACATATAAGATGCCAACACATTCTTATAGATAGGAAGAATTATACAATAGTTATTGTATAATCTAGTCAGTGATGTGTGTATATATAT